GATAAAAAAGAATTAATAAAAACACATAAGAGATACATATAGATTTTGGGTCATTAAAATTACAATTTCGTTTTCAAACTTAGAAATTATTATGTGCTTTTCTCCATCCACATACACTTACACATAATTTTACATCAAAACATTACACACTTCACTCGCAGGCAAGTTTAGTGCCGAAACTTGTGAGACAAATGGCAAAAGCCTGAAAAGCAGACAGAGGCTGTCTATAATCCATGGTGAACGTGTCATCACCAACTTTACCAAACTGAAGAAGCACCGTCTCTTCATCCCCTTTACCGTTCGGTTGGCTTTGGTCAACGGTCGCAGCTAGCTGGAAGTTCTTGACCGAAGCAACGGTCACTCTTCCATGGAAGTTCAGACACCAGCATTGCAAGTGCTCGTGCCATCTCGGAGCTTTGTTCTTTAGTATCGTCAACCCTGAAGAACCTTCTTTGTTGGGTTTCTTCATCATCTTGTTGAAGACATCACATGGCTTTTGGTCAGTGGATGATGATGACGATGAGGTTGGGCAATGGAGAGTGCTTATCATTCTTCTTGGACCTCTTGATTTCAGGAGGTTGAATTTGTAAGAGACATGACCCATTTCGAAGTTGCCTGCTGGAACTTGTGGGCTTATCTGCTTTGATGCAAATCTGCGGCTGGCTTTGCCGTTTGACGGTTTCGCTCCGTTGTGTGGTGGTTGGCTATCGTATATTGTAAAGTTGGTCCCAAGAAAATCCGATCTGCAGAGGTTCCAAATAAAAAGATGAGTCTTAGTTTCAAAGCCACTCATCTCTAGAGAGACTAAATGGTTGAAACTAGGAACAATACCTTAGTTTCCCAACGTAGGCATTACTTCCTTGTGAGAAATCATCAGCGTCAAGTGATATAATGTATTCAGTGTAAGCTCCAGTCCTGAACCTTCGTGCCGCCAGAAGAAACTTTCCTTTATCAGTGAATGCTGGTGAAGAACAAAAACAAAATCAATTAACCCTTTGAAAGACCTTAAAGGCGCAGCAGAAGCTTCTTCGTTATTACCCAAGTCAACAACATAGTCAACTCACTTATGGGTGGGTGAGAGTCCCTTTCAGTGACCACTCAAGGCATCATTTTGAGACAAATTAAATTAATTACACGCCTAGAAAGTCACTAACTCAATCGTTTTCACAGTTGAGAAATCAAACGTAGACATACTTTTTAATAAAGTCATATCTCTCCCCACCAAGATTGACAGAATCAAACCGAACTCTAGTTTCAAAAGCAGACAAATAAGAGAAAAATAAATCTGTGGAAATTGCTTACATGGTGTGAGGGCGAGATACAAGTAAAAGGTTGATGTCTTCTTGTTCCTCTTTATCAGGCACTGATTAGAAAACTCTCGTGGACCTGGCTGCAAACATCTCAGAGAAAACTCACAACTTTCAGTAACCCAAAATCTCACGCCAATTTCAATTGAAGGCGGTAAATGCACGGTAAATACATACTAAGCCAAGGAGTAAAGATCATTAAGGATAACAAAGAAATAAAAAAAAAAAACTGGTAGGAACAAGTTTACCACTTCAACTTTTAAATTACAGTAGCAAATATTCTTTCAAACATAATCCAAGACAAATCACATTTACAAAAAAAAAAAATCATTATAATATGATAAAAGAGCTTGAATTTAACAATGCCCTGATAGTAAACTCAATTCTAAGCAAAAGCAAAGATTAACATATCAAATTTACCGAATGTCAACTGGATTCTATCAACCACAAAATTTCATATGCCATTTTAAATTGCTCGTAACATTATCAGCATCCTTGTTGAGAGATTGGCTTAGCAAGGAAGGTATACTAAGCCAAAGCAAAGAATAAAGTACCACCACAACTTTCAATTACAGTAACAACTACTCTTTCAAATATGATCAAATCAATCACAATCTGCAGAATATCAAAAAAAGTCTGCACTTTTCAGGAATCAAGAAAAAGTGTTTCAGAGATTGGCTTACAAAAAAAAGACATGCTAAACCAAACCAACGCAAAGAATAAAGTTCACCACTCAACACTACAAAAGTCTACAACTTTCAATCAGAGTAGCAAGTAAACATGATTAAATTACATAATATCATCAAAAGCAATCAAATTTACATCATAGTATGATCAATCAATAACAATATGATCAAAGAACTTACATTTAAGATTATTCTAATCAATGCCCTAATTCAAGCACACACGAAATTGAATCTCTGGATGGAAAGAGGCGTACCAGTTTGAGGCAAGAAGGGAAAGTGATTTTGCCGGAGTTAACCGGAGATCTAACGATCTCCTGGGCGATCTCTCTCCACTTCTTCGACACGCAGGCGCAACTCACCACGTCTCGACGCTGGGGCCATTGGTCCTCGCTTTCCTCCACGCGGCGTATGATTTCCCCCAGCAACTCCGGGAGCATCGCCGACCACGACGACCCTGCCGCCGCGGCGTTAGAAGACGGCAACGGCGGAGGAGGAAGCATTGATCGGTGAGAATCGGCGTCGGCGTCGGCGGCGGATTCTTCAGGGTCTCTGAAGGAAATCGAGAACCTCCGCGAAAGGAGGGAACGTGACAAAGGCATTTGTGAGGAGAGGCGAGGCCGATCTGCAAATAGAGAGAGGAGAGAGGAGAGAGGAGAGAGAGGTTTATTTTTGGGGGAATCTTTTTGATTAAAATAAATATATACGAACGTGCGAAAATCTACAAGGGAGGTGGTATTTAGGGTAAATGTGACGGAGCTGTGAGTTATCAAATAGGTGACAGATCTGTCAAGTTGAACGAGTATCTATCTAATTGCGATGGAACACGTCTGTTTCTCTCTACCTTTTTTTTTTTTGGTCGGACTGTTTCTCTCTACCTAGGCTATGAGTTGTTGGTGTTAAGTGATTTTTATATGACAGACTGTTAATTTCCCCCTTTTTAAATTAGATCAAAGGAAAAAATAAACATTCATCATCGATTTAACTAAAAAATATATATATATAGTTTGGCAAAACAAGAAAAAAAATTCATCCACAAAAAAACTAAGTAAACAATAAAATATATATGGCAAAAAAAATCACTATATTTTCTTCCCAAAACTACTAGTGATAACTACAATGAAATCATTTGAAGTTTTAAAAAGCTTCAATCATAGGTAAAACTAAAAAGTTTTCAAGATATGTATAATATTAAAGGGAAATGATTGTATACTATAAAGCTGAAGTATTATAATTTTGTGTAGTATTTAATCTAAAAAGTTCAGTTCCATTGATTGGAGAAGGAGAGGAAGGTATAATTGCAAGTACAATAGTTTGAGCATGATTTGAATTTTTTTTTTTTTTGGTTACTGCACTAGTTGTGTCTTTGTTATGAAAAAAAAAAAGAGTGGCCACCAAAAAGAACTTGATTTTTATTGTTCATTAATTATAATGTGTTGATTTTTAAATTACAACAAAGTAAAAATATATATACTAATTAATCCACTCTATCAAATTAGAGTTCTTTTTATCAACTGATTTTTGGACTATTATTAAAGTTGTAAAGATCCATATAAAACACTAATATTTAATATAATCTCTTATAACTCTCAATTTACTATATGTTATAAATTCCAACTCAAAAAATATTTTAAAGTTACATAATCTATTATAAAAAAAAACGGAAACCTCAACAAATTACATTTCATAGAATATTCATCATAGATTTTCCAACAAATCCAATTCCCACAATTTCTCATTAATATATTAAAAAATAATGAAACATATTATTATATTTTTGGTAAAAAATATACTATTTACTAAAACATCGACAATATAGCCAATAAAACAAAACTTATACAATTGAGTTCTAGTGCTACTTTCATTAATTTAATAATGAGTAATTGCACTCTATAACTATGAAAACTTGTTAAATTAGCTACATGGATACAACATTTTCATATTTAGGAAACGGATACGAGTGTGATGTGAATTGTCACCAATAACCCTGAAAGACTTCCCACTTGGCTAGGCTTCTGCAAGAAGATGCACAAATATATTTAGGGTGTCAAAACACAAGTCAGATTGAATTAGACTATGTCGGTGGAGACGTGGAAATTTTAGATTTACAATACTATTTTGCAGCTTTAGCCCAAAATAAAACAAGCTCTAATTGATCTTTCTTTTTTCATCATCTTAACCAATTGCAGTTTCTCCAAATCCAAATTCCAACATTTTATTACTTTCGCTCTCTTTGTGATTTGATCAAAAGATCAACTGTAGCATAATCTGGATCTCTCCTTCAAATTAATAATATCAGTAGTTTTCAATCGCAAAGCACTCGTCACGGTACACAGCCAAAGCTAGGTTCCCCGAATGATGAATCGCGCGATAGTTCACGGCCTTCTTCTGAAGACGAAAAGACTTGAGGAGGAAAAAAGGGTTGGTGTCGAAGATAGCGACGGAGCCGTCACTGGCGGCGGAGATGAGGTTGCAAGGGAAGGAGAGTGAGGAGGGGGTGTAGAAGGAGAGGGCGGTGATTGAGGCGGTGTGGTTATAGTCGAGGAGGGAACCGAGGGAGGACCCGGAAGGGAGGTCGTAGAGGTGGTTTGTGTCGTTGGAGCCACTAGAAGCGGCGGTGGGGCCGGCGCAAGCGACGGTGGTGATGGAGGAGATGTGGGAAAGGTATGAGAAGAGAGGGGTGAGGGTTGGGTTTCAGAGTCGTGTTTTTTGGGTTTGAGCTTGAAGCCACAGATGAATCTCTCGTAGGAGCCAGAGATGATGTTCATGGCTTTCTTCTGCTACAAAGTTAAGTGTTTTGATTTGAAAGCTTTTTAGAGTTTTAGGGATTTTATCGGTGGGTTTTACTTGCTTCTATTTTTTCGACAATGGAAACAGACTCAACCTCTTAAATTTTATGGTTCATGGTTCAAAATTGTTTGATCGACTGAACCATTTTTAACTACATACATTATTTTTCTTAAATGGATGATTTAGATGATGCTCCATCTAGTCTATCGTCATCCACATGCTATAATGTAGTATCTAAGATAATAGTGTAGCCTTTTCAGTGTAGGGGTATTAAAGAGAATATCAACTCATATTTCTTTGCAGAAAACATACATGTTCACGTACCTAATTAATTTTGTTTCCATGGTTATTGAGCTAAATAACTCTTTAATAATCTACATATAAAATAAATTTCCAATTGAAAAAAATCTAAAAGAGGTGTAACAATAAACTATGAAGTCTATATTAGGGTTGGGATTTATTATTCGGAATTCGGATTCGATCTGAGATCCGCTGCGAAAATAGGATATATGGGGCGTCCAGATCCGAATCCGGATAGTAAAACCTTAGATCCGTGCAAACCGAATCTGTATCTGGATATCACAATTTTTAGGTCCGGATATCTGGATCCGGATCCATGTTTTTAAAAAATATTATTTTTTTAATTTTATTAATAATTATATTTGATATATTAATATAATAAATAAAAACTAGTCTTATAATATTATATATCATAAATATATTTATAAATTGTGTAATTATGTTTAATTTATATATATTTTTAGATTTTTTTTTGTATTTTAAAATATGTTTTACTTATTTTATTATTATTTTTAAGGATCCAAATCCGAATCCGGATATCTGCGGATATTACAATTTCTAGACGGATATCTGAACCCCGAATATCTGAAAGACACAAATCCGAATCCGGATACTAAAATTACGGATCTGACGAATCCGGATCTGAATCCGGATATCTAAATTTCCCAGATATCCCCACCCCTAGTTTTTTTTTTTTAACTCATAGGAAACCGATTGCAAGAGTTTAAAGAATAAACACCAACACAAGCAAACAGAGAAAACACATCCAAAACCACCACAGATGAAAAAGGAGACAACGCCTAAAGCACTCCTCCCACCATACTGCCACCATCATATCTAAGAACACCAGATCAGAACCACTTCAAAGACACTCAAACTCCACCATGACTCCTACCTTCCGCTGCAAGCAAGTTCCTAAGCCAGGCAGGACTTCCCCACCCCTAGTCTAAATGCACACAAAATACAATAAATCCGATTTCAATAATATTTAAACCGTATTTGGTTTTTGAAAAAAATGTAATCCGCGTCTAAAGCGGGTAAATAGACTAGTTAAGACTTGAGGTCTTTGCATTTAAACATAACAACAAACGTTTGTTCTTCAGTTGTAAACTAAAAACAAGAGCTAAGACTTTCATTTCAAGCCAAAATCCATGTCCGCCGTGAAAAACATCTCCTCATTCAGACTCGCCTCTCTCCTCCGCCGCGAGAATAACCCCTCCGCCGCAATCAACCTTTTCCGAAACCCTGAATCAACAAACCCAAAAAAACCCTTCAGATACTCCCTTCTTTGCTACGACCTCATCATCACGAAACTCGGCGGCTCCAAGATGTTCCACGAGCTTGATCAGGTCCTCCTCCAGCTCAAAAACGATACTCGTATCGTCCCAACGGAGATAATATTCTGTAACGTGATCAATTACTTTGGCCGTGGAAGATTACCAACTCGTGCCCTCCACGTGTTCGACGAAATGCCTCAGTACCGATGCCAAAGAACTATGAAGTCCGTTAACTCTCTGTTGAATGCTCTCTTAATGTGCGGTGCTTTCGATAAAATGAAGGAATTTCTCACGAGAATTGATGAGTTTGGTAAGCCAGACGCTTGTACTTACAATATACTGATCAATGGATACAGTCATAGCGGGTGTTTCGATGATTCGTTGAAGCTATTCGACGAAATGGTCAAGAAGAAGGTGAAACCCACTGGTGTAACTTTTGGAACGCTGATTCACGGGTTGTGTAAGGATTCGAAGGTGAAGGAAGCGTTGAAGATGAAGCAGGATATGTTGAAAGTGTATGGAGTGTATCCCACGGTACACATTTATGCATCGTTGATCAAAGCGTTGTGTCAAGTTGGTGAACTGAGTTTGGCGTTTAAGTTAAAGGATGAGGTTAAAGTAGACTCAGCTATCTACTCTACGTTGATTAGCTCGCTTATAAAAGCTGGAAGGCCAAAGGAGGTCTCAGGGATTTTGGAGGAGATGAGAGAAAAGGGCTGTGAACCGGATACAGTGACTTACAATGTACTGATTAATGGGTTCTGTGTTGAGAATGATTTGGAATCGGCTTATCGAGTTTTGGATGAAATGGTTGGAAAGGGTTTGAAACCAGATGTTATAAGCTACAACATGATACTTGGCGCCTTGTTTAGAATCCAGAATTGGAAAGAAGCAACTTATTTGTTTGAAGATATGCCTAGAAGAGGTTGTGTCCCTGATATCTTATCGTATAGGATAGTTTTCGATGGGCTTTGCGAAGGTTTACAATTCGAAGAAGCAGTTGTTGTCTTGGATGAAATGCTTTTTAAAGGGTACAAGCCTCGCAGGGATAGGCTAGAGAGGTTTCTAAAACGGCTATCTGAGAGTGAAAAGTTGGAGATTCTTGGTAAAGTTATGGGTACCTTGAATAAAGGGAATGCTTATGCTGCTGAAATTTGGTCGGTTATAGTGCCTACAGTGTGCAAAGAACCTCTGCTATCAGATTCTTCTATTCATTTGTTGTTAAACTAATTGAAGGAAGATGGTCTTAAAGGAATTGAAAAACATTTGGCGTTCTTCAGTTGACACTAGTCCTAGTCAGCTCAAGATCCTTTGTTGTTACTACTACTAGACATGAAGTTGATGATGCTATCCAATCCAAGACGTAAATAGACCAGAACCAGAAAGGTAGGAAAGGGTGTTTTCGTCATTTACACTTAACGAGAACCCTACTTTGGTTTTTTCAGGTTGTTGTTTTCTTTGATTAGTTCGGTGGTTGTTGTCTAAGAGGTAATTCTTCCTCACCTACTGCTTCTCTGCTCGGTACTTTTCTCTACTCTTTGAAAGTTTTGTTTTCGTTAACTGTATGATTGCTTCTGTATATATGGATCTGTGCCAAACTCATCTCAGATCAGCTCTTTGACATGAGCATAAATTTCTGTGTACGAAAGTTTTGGATTTTATGTTCTTTTAAAGTGGTTTTGGTTCCAGGAATGAATCTTGGAGTGAAGATGGTGCAGAAGAAGGTGGCGGTTCTTTACCATTACCCTTGCCATGACGGTGTTTTCGCCGCCTTAGCAGCTCATCTCTACTTCTCAGCAAACTCAATCCCTTCTCTTTTCTTCCCCAACAAAGTCTACTCTCCAATCACAATCAGCCAGCTTCCTCTTCAGGACATCAGCCATCTCTATCTTCTTGATTTCGCAGGACCGCCTGGTTTTGTCCAACAAGTCTCTCCCAAAGTAGACACTGTGGTGATTCTGGACCACCACAAAACAGCCATTGAGGACCTGGCCGATGTCTCTTTGACTTGCAAGAACGTAACCACAGTTTTGGATATAACAAGAAGCGGAGCCACCATTGCCTTTGACTATTTTACTCAGAAGCTGATGGAAGAGTCTCGAGGAAACTGCAGAGAGATGAGTGATTTCAAGAGAATGAGGCGTGTTTTCGAGTACATTGAAGACGCGGATATCTGGAAGTGGAACTTACCTGAGAGCAAAGAGTTCAACAGTGGAATCATAGACTTAGAGATCGAATACAGTTTCAATCAGAACAGTTCACTGTTTGAGCAGCTACTCTCGTTGGATCATGACAGTGTGATCAAGAAAGGAAAAGAAAGTTTGACTAGGAAACGTAAACTGATTCAAGAGGCTCTGGAACAGTCCTATGAGATTGTTCTTGGAGGTGATGAACAAGAGTTTGGTCGGTGTTTGGCTGTAAATGCAGACGATATTGCAGAGCTTAGAAGTGAGCTAGGGAATCAATTGGCAGAGAATAGCAAGAATCGGAGACTCAGAGGTATTGGAGCTGTTGTTTACAGAGTTCCCGAGCTTGAGGATGAGACCGAACTGAAAATAAGCTTGAGGAGTGTTGAAGAAGAAGACACAACAGTGGTTTCAAAGAGATTCGGAGGTGGTGGTCATAAACCGGCAAGCTCCTTCATGTTAAGCTCTATGGAGTTGGAGCAATGGAAGGTGAACAGAAACTCTGCTTCTAATTCATAAAACTAGAGATGTTTTTTTTCTTCTCATTTTAGCTTTTTATGTAATGCTTACTTGAACCGGTTAGTTTACAAATTAAGATATGAACTGAATCTGGTTTGGTATTGTCTTCTTTACTCAATCAATGAATAAGATTCTGCTTACGTGATTATATTCTCTCCAAGATCATCAAACACAAGCAAAACATTGTATCTTGAACAAAGGATCCAATACACAAGAAAAGCATAACCAAGTTATCGCCTAAACCGAAACAAAACCAGAAGAACATCCGTCTCTATTAGTGAATGCAAACCAAGCTTGGAACATAGGTGAGGACAAGTGGACAGCTGAGAAGAGATGCATTTACAGTTTCATCCTTATACACTTGCTTATACATATCCTCACCAACAATGTAGATCTTGGTCCTGTCTTCACCCTTCATCTCTTCATCAAAAATCTCACAACACACCGCCACTTTCTTCTCCTCATCCAACAAAAAGCTCGAAACATTCGACAGACAAGGGAGTTTGAACTTGGCGAAATCCACACTCAAGACAAAGTCTTTCCTCCACGTTAACTCTTTGCCCTCTTCCTCAACCTTATTGGTCACCCAAATCCTCATCACATCAGACCAAGTATGAATATTCTGATGACACACAGAGAGCTTCTCATCCCTAACAACTGAGAGAACCGCAGTGTCCTCAGGATCAAAGCTCTGAAACGGTAGAGGGAGACGCACGAATCTCTCTGCCGTGAAATCAAACTTCATCAAGAAGAAACCCATTTCTTTATCACCAGCAACGAAGTAAGTATCTCCCCTCAAAGACACGCCACTGCAGTACATTCCATAGTCAAGAGTCCAAGAATCAAGAACCCTCCAAGAAGCAGACCCAAGATCATACATCTCACACTCGACAGCTATTTTTTTCTCGGCGTTTCGATTATAGCCACACCTCAAGATCTTGTAGCTACGGCGAGAATCATATCCTAAGGCAAACGTATCGGTTCTATGGTAACGAGTTCTTGGTTTGATAATCTTCCTTTGACCAGTACATGGATTCCAAACCGCAACACTACCGTTTGCTACGCATAACATTAAACCGTCGCAGTGATACATCGCGTAGAGTTTCAAGTCTTTTGAGAGTTTACCGGTGAAATCGAGAGGTGAGGATTCGATGACTCTGCTGCTGCTGTTGTGGAGATCTCCGGCGATTGAGTAAACCTCGTGATTGTTCAGTAACATCGTCTCTCTGGCGGATTTACTACTCATCTTCTTGTTCTTCTCCACGAACTTTGGATCTTTGAAAAGAGTGTACCATCGTTTGCAAGTCGTTTTCAGTTGGGAGAGAGACTTCGCCGGAACCCTAGCGAGTATCTCCGTTTCCAAATCGTTCGGAAAATTCGCTATCGTTATCATCGGCGTTGGTTCGTTTCTCATTTCTTTCTCTTGAGATGAAGAAAGCTGTTTATAAATTATTAGTTTTGTGGTCCGATTGGTAATGACTTTCGATTTAGGCTTTGACTTTAGAATTGTGGCTGTAGAGATTTTGGCTTTAAAGGCTGTAACTGTTACTTTAGAGAAAATTAAAAACATGATTGGTACTCAAAGCTTTAGAAGTTGTGACTGTTATAAATATATGTTTATAATTCATTTTTCAAAATGTATTACCTATTTTTTATTTATACAAGTTTATAAAATATATTGGGTTGCTTAAAAACAGAAAATCAATCAAATTTATCAACAATATATTTTATTTCTTTATTGTAAAAATTTGAAATTGTAAACAACAAAATTATTTTATTAAACTTAAAATAAGATAATAATTTATTAAATAAATAAAAATTATTCAAAATTAAATTTAAAATAAAATTACAATTTATTAAATAAAACAAAAAAATATTAAAAAATTAACGGGTTCTAGCCCATATGCTGTTTGCAATCTCATCTTGAACACCTTCCATATATTGTCTTGAACTGAGATCTTGGTCCATCGTATTTGGAAGTTCTTCTTCATTTATCGTTTGTTCGTTTTCATTTTCTTCTGATTGGAAGTCAGGATCCACAAGATTTGACTTGCGAATGAAGTTATGGAGAACCATGGTTTCAATTATTTATACAATATTTTTAGTTTTTAACAGATTAATAATCTATTAATAGTAAAGTATGACTTTTTCTTGATGGTAAAACCTAATTTAACTAATGAAAATGAATTTATAAATCATTGTATTTATTTTTTCTTTCAATTATTATAT